TGGCGTGACAGACAGCGCACTGGTCTGTCACACCACAGATCCTGGGTGTTCCATTCCCGGTGGAACCAACAAATTTTTATATGCTTGCGTCTTCTCTCCGGAGGTCCGGCCTCCGAGAGAGTATCCTTTGCCTCGAAAATCTCTCTCAAAAATTCTGCCGTTCGGATTCCGGATTTAAACTGTAGGTCCCATATGCCTGTGTACAATCAAAGTGCGCACCACAGGTATATGAAGAGAGTGATATATAGGCCCTCGCTCGACATGAGCTTGTAGCGCTATGAATAGCCTTAATAATAACTTCTTTGGTGAAGAATAAAGTTTATAAGAACTTTATTTTTCAACAATTGTAATTGTAATTAATGCTCTCATAGTCAGTTTAGTGGTTTGTTAATATAATTGAATTATATTTCTTTTCACGATGTTAAATATCAGTAATATCACTTGATGATTTTTATTTTTTTAAAACATTAAAATTAATTTTTATAATTTTATTATTTTCACAGGTTACAAACTACAGGGCGAGAATCCAGGTGGGTGGCAACGGCACTTGGGAAAGCATGTTTGGCCGCGTCTATACCTCCCAGAGAAGGGTTGTTTCTGTTCGAAGAATTACAGAAAGCACGAAGGTGTTTCGTTTTGGACACCGAATTGCACGTGATATATTTGGTGACACCACTCTCGTCCGGATGTCAAATCGGAACTGTCGATTGGATGACGTTTCACGAATTGTGGAACACCATGACCGAAAGCGAGCGCAGAGTCGGAAAGCTCGTCGGGGTGGAGGAGCGCTTTGTGCTGTCAGCTATTAGGGGAATCATTAAACCTGGAAAATCGGTAATTTATCTTCGTTTATTTTAGCTGGAGGAATACATGAAGTATTAGAATTGATATCCGTATTGTCTAAAGAATTGCTAATGTGAATGCTTCGTGCCGCAGTTGAACATACATAGGAGATTCTACAGCGCGCTGGCGCTGCACGATTTGGTTAAAGAAGTGCCACTTCACGTAGTTTGTAAGAAGTATGGATGTTGCCGCGGAGTATTGCAAACCTTGCAACAGTCTGCTGCCACGTACGCGGGTAAACCGACACAAAGCGAATAGATTAATAACGATAAAACTCATTGTTCTCCGGCAAATTTTCCATAGCGTGTGTCAATCTTATCTTAGGTATGGTCACGCAATTTTGCAAGCAATTAGGTTGGGATTGTATGGAATTATTGGTGAGCCAATTTCAAACGAGACTGCAGTTCGGCGTCTGCAGAGAATTGCTAGATTTGCTGCGACTGCCGATGTTAAACGGCTTGCGAGCGAGAAGCCTGTTCAAACAAGGAATAGAAACCGTGGCAGACTTGGCTGTTGCTAATGAACTTAACGTTGAACGCGCGCTTTACAATGCTCTTCCTTTTGAAAGGTACGAATGTTACTAATTCGTATCTTTTATATATGAATTATAACGGATATGTAGATCTGTAATTATACATGTTTAAATAGTAAATAGACTTGCATGCAAAAATCGCATATAATGAATTGGGTTTAAGGTTCTACACATATTTAGCATTAAATATAGTGGATGAATATAATTCATACATTCATATTGTTATTTTAAATGTTTTTTACGTGCGTTTTAGTGAAAAAGAATGTGAAGGAGAGTATGCATTTGAGGTGGAAAAGAGAAATAAAATGAGGACAGTATTCGTCACTGGAAGAGATGGTCTCACACCTCAACAAGCTGCAATTTTATTGGTTCAAGAGGCGCGGATGTTAATTCAGGTTTATATAATGCTTAAATTTTATAAATAAAAAAATACATTCCTCTCTCTCTCTCTCTCTCTATTATTTATTGCAATATAATGATTATTTATAGAACGAGTTGGGATTAGAGCAGATGCCGTGGGAGCAAACTGAGCGAACTCTGCAAGTAAATTCGTATGTCGGAAATGCTGAAGATACGTCGGATGTGAAAGAACAAAATCAGACGGATTTGAATGAAAAGAAATCTCCGAAAATTAAAATATTTGTCACGGAAAATTCATTACACGAAAAGTCGCCTGTGAGTAATGAAAATCAAAAGGATGATAATCTGAAACCTGACGCACATAAGGAAAGTGAAACTGATGCGTCCGACAAGAAGGAAGCAATTGAATTGAACAGTCGGCATTTCGATGAAGCCAGTTTGTCACCTAAAGTCTCAAAAGACGATTCAAAAGATTCTCTTTTTCTCGACTTAAGCAGTCCCGATATAATGGCAAACGACGAACAATTAGATATTCCGAAAGAGAAGAAAACTCTTTCCGCGAGCGGTGGTACTAACGTAAAGAGAACCAGCAAAGATTTCGAACAGCCCAGCTTCGTTGCTAACGATATACCCAACAAAAAGTTAAAAATGTCCAGCCCGAATGAGATAAAAAATAACTATGAGGATATGATAGACAAAGACAAGAGTATGTCTATTTTAAGCGGAAAGCCACTTTATTCAAGGAGTCCCAGTCTATTCGATGACAGTTTGAATCTTGACACTCAAATATGCGATATTCTCGAACAAAATGTCATAGATACCGCACATTTGACGGGATTGAATGTTAAAGTAAGCGAAGTGGACGCCGCGAATGCGTTGCAGAAAGAATCTACAAGTCTAAATAATGGCAATGTGCAATTACGTAAAGAAACTAAAGAAAATAATGTAAATAAAAACAGTATATTGTCGTGGGGTGACGACTCGTGGAATAATTCCGAAGGATTGCTGAAACAGGTAGCTCAAGATCAGAATATGATCCAATCCAAGAAGGAAATATCTAGTCCCAAAATTAAAAACATTGTAAATACAAATATATCCGTTACGTTAAAAGATACGAAAACTTGCACACCGAACAGTAAGGAAGATGTGCGTAAAGCCGAGGTCAAAAAACGCACTGCCGCGGTTAAGGAGAAATCGGCACGGAAGCCCAAACTGCCGAAAGGAGCGGAGATAGACTCCCCTGTGGCAGATATAATTGTTTTCAGAAAGGAACGGAAGACGTCCGCGGATTCAAATAAATCCGATTCGGATGACTTCGTCGTCGGTTCGCAGCACTTCGAATCTCCTTTCAGCACTTGCAGAAGTCGAACGAGGACGACGTTGGAGAAGATGCGTAAGCTGCGTTCTCAGAAACTCGTCGATGAGGATACAATAGCGGAAATGAATAATTGTTTAATAAATTCGCCTATCAAAGAAATACCAAATGACGTGGTGGAGGATAAAATAAAAGAAGAAGAACGGAAAGTGAAGCCAAAGTTGAAGGAGATTTCGGGTCAAAATCCATTAGTCCCTGCGAATTGCAGTATCGACAGCGTTATATGTAATTCCGAAGATGAGGCGGGGATTAATTCGATGATATTAACTCGGAACAAAGCAACTCAATTTAAGCCAAAGCAACATGAGGTGCAATCGAACGATTTGGATAAAAATGCAAAATCGAAAATAGAAAGTATAGTACCTGATAACAAAAAGAATTTGTTGAACGAAACGATAGATTGGAATACGTTAAATATCGTGAAAGTTGCGAACAACAGAGCGACTTTTAATCTGTTCAAACGCGAAGTGTTAAAGAAGCGAAATATCGCTTTAGCCTTACATTGTGACTTGTACGCAGACAATGCGAGTAACATAGGCTCGAAGATTTGTGTCTCCAATGCAGAAGGAAAACGGAGGCCCAGGAGGTCTGGGAATTTTGCGCATGGAAATAAAGAGATTCGCGGCGTTGCAATATCCTGGGAGAGCAATATCGCATATTACCTCTCCTTCAGTAATTTACAAGGTAACGCATATAAGGATCCTCTCCTAACAGAATGCTTTTTAATTGCAAATTATCTAGCGTTAAATTAAATTTTCGTTTAAGTTTTAATACAAATATTACAATTGTTCCAGAATCAAAAGTCTCTGGAAAAGAACAAATGGCTCTGGTGAAAGAATTATTTTATGACACGACTTTGTACGTGAAATGCTTCGCGGTAAAGAATATATACAAACTCCTGTATCAGTGCTGTGGAATTACCGCGAAATGTAGATTTCTTGATCCCACGATTGCGCATTGGTTGTACACTAACGATTGCGAAAGAAATTTCGATGAAATGGTGAGATTTCAGCCATATCTTATTGTGCAAAATGATCCAGGGATTAAAATCAGTAATATAAATGTGTTGTTAAACAAATATCAATTTAAGAAAGATTATTAATGCTACATAAATTATTAAAAGTGCATCAATACATTTATCAAATTTTAAATATAGGTAGTACAGTACTTTCCGCAAGGAAATGTTATAATGAAACGTACAAAATCTCGTTATTACGCCGGTCCCGGGATGGATGTGCGAAGTTCTTTACCAGGCGAGTTTAGATCGGCAGCAGAAGCCATGCTTACATGGCACATGATAGATAATGTCACGAGTAAATTAGAAGAACTTAATCCCGCTTTACTTTATGCATTTAGAGGTATAAGAGATCATACAGATATATATCTCTCTATTTTACAACGTCTATTGTAATGTGTAATTTCCATTTTCAGAAGTAGAAATGAGAATCATGACAACTTTAGCTTGTATGGAATTATCAGGCATTGGCGTGAATTTGAAATCTTTGCAAGAGTTATCTTCGGTTATTTCAAATGAAATGCAGTCTTTAGAAACGGAAGCTTTTGATTTGGCAGGTAGAAAATTTAATTTTTCGTCGTCCAAAGAAGTCGGCCAGGTTTGTAAAGTTAAAACTTTATATATATATATGAAGTAAATAGTAGAAATATATATATATATATATTTCTATATTTCTATATTTACTTTTTATATGTATAATACATTATACATCTTTATATAATTCTAATATCTATATAACACGTACATTGTATAACGTGTCATATAGGTATTAGGATTATATAAAGATAAAAAAATCAGTACAAGCAAAGCTGTTTTGGAAAAATGTGACAATCCAATATCGACCCTGGTGATTTCCTGGCGGAAATTAAATGCAACAAGAACAAAAGTAATTATACGATAAGTACAGATTTATTTGATTCTTTTAATATGCATATGATATTATATTGTTATATTATAAAACTAATAATACTTTTTTCCTATCATATCATTTTTTTGATGCACGAATTTTTCTTGTATTTCTTGATTCATGCTTTTTTACTTTAAATAGAAGAAACTTTAATCTATGCAAAAATAATAGAATAAAATATAATAATATAATAAAAAAGATATAACAGAAAAAGATTGAATAAAATTATATTTATCAAATATATTTTTGCCTACAGATGATCTACCCGTTATTAAATCTGGGCCAAGAAGACTCACGTATTCGTGGTAATTGCATCACTTGTACCGTGACAGGAAGAGTCTCGATGCACGAACCAAATTTGCAGAATGTGCCAAAGGATTTTAGTTTCGCAGACAATAATCTCGTCGTGAGCGTAAGGATGGCATTTGTACCAGCTCTAGGCAACATAATGCTATCCGCCGACTATTGTCAACTCGAATTACGCCTCTTGACCCATTTCTCGCAAGATTCGGTATTGTGTAAAATTATGAGACAGCCGGGTGACATTTTTAAAAATATTGCTGCCAGATGGAATAATGTAGCAGAGGAACAGGTATGCACTGATGATTAATCGCAAAAATCCGTATATTATACTGTTTACAGTTCGTTTAATTTTGAATATTTTACGTATCACTCATTTATTAATTATATTAATTATCTGAAAATTTAGGTAACCACCGAAATGCGTCAGCGTACCAAGCAATTATGTTACGGCATGATTTACGGCATGGGGGTGAGATCATTGGCCGAAAATCTGTGTATAAGTGAGCCCGAGGCTCAAGAGTTTTTAGAGTCATTTATGAACGCGTATCCTGGCATATACAAGTGGCTAAATGACGTACTAGAAGACGCGCATCGCGACGGATATGTGACGACGATACTCGGAAGACGCAGGCAGCTTCCTGATTTAAACAGTACAAAATCATCTACGAGAGGTGAATATTGATCATCACGTATTGACTTTGTTTGCATTTTTTTTAAATTATTTAACTGTATATCTCCGTTGAATTTTAGCACAAGCAGAACGACAAGGTGTAAATACAAAGGTGCAAGGTTCCGCTGCAGACATAGTCAAGAAAGCTATGATAAGTATAGAGGACAAGATAAGAAGCTACTTTCCGGATTCGGCTATGATACTTCCAGAGATGCATACCACTCGCAAACTACGAAGTAATTTGCAACAAAGAGGTGGTTATTTAGTTTTACAGCTACATGATGAATTGTTATACGAAGTAAGTACTATCATTCTCTTATGTACGTATCTCTACTACGAGTTTAAAATTTAGTTGAATCTTATAACATTTTATGAAATGTTACGAATTACAAGAAGAGTCGTGGATAATTTTTTTAATATTACTTCAGGTAAATTTAGCGGATTTAAAAGAAGTGGCTCTTATAATCAGAGAATCAATGGAAAATGTGTGCCAACTTACTGTGCCATTGCCAGTAAAAGTCAGAGTTGGTCCTGCATGGGGCGATTTAAATGATTATCAATTTTAGCGAACATTTCTAATCATAGCGTACCAATCATTAATTTTAAATCACTATTTTTACTTTTACATTTTTTTTAAATAACTAATCATGGGTAGACTATTTATGAATCATGCCAATATTTACCAAATATTTTATACATTATTTTTTTGTGTTTATTGAAATTGTAAATACTTAAATATCTTAATTTATATTATTCATATACTATTTTCACAAGTAATAGAGAATCAATGAAAATTGTAAATAGTTGAAGTGGAATCCAGTATTTTTCAAAGCATTTTTAAAAATTAATTTAAAAATTTTTTATCACATTGAAGCTTAATTAAGAATTGCATTAGTATTTAAAAGTAAAAATACTTTTATCTTTTCATATCTTTTATATTTCCAAAAATTGTAAATATTTTTAATAGTTTATCTCAATAGTTTTTATTATGCACATAAGAAAAAGTGGATTAATATATAATAAAAATTATAAATAGTTTATATAGCGGATTGCAATATCTCTTTTTTGATAAATGTTTATATTTATATTCTTTACTTCGAAGCTTAAGAGAGGAAGAAAGATTATAATTAACACTTCTTCGATAAAAAAGATATTTTAAATATATTTCTCTATGTACACATCCCTTCTTTTTATTTATGTTTTCTTTTAATCTCAAGTGAAAAAGTCAATTGAAAATTAAATCAACGTGTCATCAAATGAACAATCATGTTAAAAGAATATGAAATTTTACTAAACTTTGTCTATACGAAATATGATAATACTATAAAATATTACCAGTCTGTTATATATGATCTTTATAATTATCTGATGATTATCATTAATGATATGACATAGTTTATATGGGATGAGTAAAATTACATGTGCATACGCAGATGCAAGATAATGTCAATTGTTTACAAAGAATAAATTACATTAACAGTAAAAAAAAAAAGATTTATTATAGTGAACTGTATGAACATCTACTTGCGCTATATTACATCGCAAGGCGGCGCCAACGACTGATGTAACTTAGTCACCGCCGTTTGCACTATCTGCTGAAAGGTCTCGTCCTCCTTGCTGGTCACCTCCAAGTTGAGCAAGTCTATATGCGCCTTCTTACCGTCCACCGTCACGTAGAGTTTCTCGCCTTTGAATATCTTGGGCACCGAGTCCTCGCCGAACATCTCCTGCAGCATCTCTATGAGGCACTCCTTGAAGTGCATCCTGTCCATTTTTGTGGGCGCGGGCAGCACCTTCGGCGACTGGTCCATTATCTCGGCCTGCAGGATCGCGGTGAGGACGGAGTCCGCGTACATGTCGTTCACCGGCGTCGCTATCCACTCCATCGTGACGATCTTGCCGTCGATCGTGACGTCGACGTTCTTGAACACCCTCAGCTTCTTGTCGTCGACGACCTCGAGGTTGCCGGCTATTTGCGTCAGCAGGTGCTTCAGCACCGGCAGAGACGCGGAGAAGTACACGCTCTGCCGTTGTATAACTTGGCTCATGCTCATGTCCGTGTACTTGGACAGGTCGCACGGGGCCAGCATGTGGTAATTGAAGTTTCTCTTGACCAGCACGCCGGACAACTTCTGCCCTGGTCTCGGGGTCTCCATCGCCAGCGTGCCCATCACTTTGGCGGTCTTCTCGCCCCGAAAGTACAGCTCCACCGCGACCGTGTTTCTCGGATTGTGTATCTCCATGGTGGTGTTAGGATCGTCCTCGTATTCCCGTTGTAACGCCGCCTTCAACCGACCCATCTCGTTTTGTTCACCGTGCACCAGCACCACGTGCGGCGGCTTCAACGTGCGTATGAACTCCGACGTTTGCTGATAGTCAGTGTGAGCGGAGAACGATATGTAGTCGACGGACATCTTCAGCGGTAACTTCTGCCCGGACATGGTCGTGATCTCCTCCGGCTCCGACAGGATGGTCTTCGCCAGCGTGCCCTCCACGCAGTAGCCGGCTATTATCACCCCGTTTTTCGCGTCTGTGCACCAGGACTCGAACAACTCCCGCGACAGGCCGCTCTGCATCATACCCGGCGAGGCCATCACCACGCACGGTCCGATGTCCTCGAAGTGATCGATCCCCTTCAAATTGGAGATGTGCTTGAACACGAAGGGATTGTTGATGGCTATCTGCCGTCTGATCTTGTCGTTCATCGCGTTCACGTACGTCTGATAAACGGCCATGCACTTCTTCGCCAGGGAGGAGGCGTAGTAGATCGGTATCTCGTGCAGCTCCGAATGCTGACTCCAGTACTCGTCCAGAATGAGAAGGAGCTCCTGCGCTCTACCCAGAGCGAACACGGGTATCAGGCATCTGCCGCCCCTGTTGACGATCTCGTGCACGAGATTCGTGAATCTGCCCTCTCGATCCTCCCTCTTCTCGTGGATGTGGGTGCCGTAGGTCGACTCCGTGATAAGCACGTCGGGATGAATGTTCGGGATCTCGGCGGCCATCAGGTGCCGGTCCTCCTGCCGGCTGAAGTCCCCGGTGTACAGTATCTTCACGCCGGCGATCTCGATCATGAACATAGCGGCGCCCAGCACGTGGCCCGCGTTGTAGGCCCAGAACTTGATCCCGAACATGTCCTTCTCCTCGTGGAAGTTGATCGTCTCTATCTTGTCCATACTCGCCTCCAAGTCGGACTCCGTGTAGAGCATCTGCTCGGTGGCGATGTTGCTCACCTTGATGTAATCCGACAGCAGCCAGCGGTAGATGGCCTTGGTGGCGTGGGTCATGAAGCAGCGGCCCTTGAAGCTCGTCTTCAGCAGGAACCAGGGCAGCGCCCCGCAGTGGTCCAGGTGAAAGTGGGAGATCAGCAGCAGGTCGATCTCGTCGGCCTCGACGAGGTCGACGAACGGAAGGGCGTCCATCCCCGAGAGACCGGGATGTATGCCGCAGTCCAGCATGATTTTCTTCCCTTTGAATTCCAGCATGATGCACGACCTACCGACCTCCTGGCCCGCGCCGAGAGGCCGGATCGAGAGCAGGTCGCTCTCCTCGGCCGGCACTTGCGCGTCGTTCTTTCGCTTCGTCGACATTTCGTCCGAAATTTCGATTGATTCTCCTTGGGGAAATTATTCCCTTGCTGTATTTCTTTCTTGCACTATTTTAATATATATATGTATCGTATCGTACTTTATGCCGCAGCTTCCTCGAGAAAAAAAAAACGCACGTCAAGCGGCAGGCATTTTGAGGTTATGTATTGAATAACAAACTCGTGAAATAATTCTGTTCTTCGTAGCTGCACTTGTATCATACTTTCTGCACTTAATTAAAATGAGATAGTTATAATATAATTAGACGTTGGAGAAAAAAGGAAGATGTGAAAGGTATAAAAGGTTTATAAAGAACAAACCTTAAGCCTATGGCACGCAGTACGTTATTTTATATACAATATACATTATTAAATTACGTGCAAAAATTACTAAAAATGCATCACATGTTATTGTTATATTTATACATATATACGTAGTATAGCACACAATACTTTTAAAATTAAATTATTAACTTCAAAATGTGCCAGAATAATAAAAAAAAAGATTTAATTCAATCCGAATGTTCGTTAGTATTCAATCAGCCAATATAGTAGGAAAATAATTTTCTTATTAGATGAGTTGTTATAAAATGCAATTTGCAATTATTACCGTGCAAATATTTAAATAGTTGGAGAATACGGAATTTACAGGAATATACGATTTTAAGATATTTCTAGGAATTTATCATTTAAATTTAAATAATCGATGATTTTAAACAAAAACAGTAAATTGTAATTAATATACACGAGTATATAATTACCAATATTTTTTAAATTTTTATTTTTTCCTTTAAACGGACGATGATTTTAAAATAGCATTCTGATAATTATTGATACAAAAAGATATATCGTTAGAAATTAAATAAAGGAGACTTATTCTAATTAAATTTCTCATTAATCTTTGAAGTTAAAAAATGATTAATAACAATTAAGCTTTTTATGACAATTAATATCTTTTACTAATGTTTTAACGTTTTTTTACTTTAAATTACACATAATACAGTAATAAATGTTACAAGTTTTTTGTTTAACTTTAGCAAGTTGTATACATACAATATAAATTATAATTAGAAGCATTACCTTGCAAATATTCCATTTGGAGGAAAATCTATTTAAATTATTTTTAATTAACTTGATACTTTTGCCGTTGCAAATAAATAATTTTTTTTTAAATAGCCTTTTCATTTGTGCGGTCCTTATCGCTTATTCAGTTCGCGATTGTATATTCAGTGTTGCAAGGGCAGGAGTATTGGTGTGAACAAAAAAGAAATGAGAAAAAAATGAACTTATTTAAAAACGTACCTCAATACATAAATTTTATTAAGGTATACATATGTTGATTTATTGTTTTTTTTTTATCCTTTTTAATGATAGTGTTACCCTATTTTTTAATCTGCTTATAGCGTAGATCGAGTTTCGTATGATACTCAATTGCCAAATCAATTCATTGGCCCTATTATAAAATAGAACTGATGTACATATTTACATTATTTACAACGATGTTTCGTTATGAAATAGATATAATACGAATAGTTTAACTAAACAATTGCACATTTTGGACGTCGATGTTGGTTGCAGGTGGGCTTCTCAAGCTGAACACCCATCGCATATCAAATCATTTTTAAAACGAGAAAACTTAGTGAAAACGACTGAGCGTGCAATCGCTGCTTGTTTGTGATGTTAATGAGATTATTTATTATTAAGATTTATGCGTGATAAATTTTTTTAAATTTGACGGATGAACGATGGAGTCGATTATTGAGAACTATTGATGCATACTTCTACCTTCGTATATGGATCATTACGAAAAATATTTTAACCCTTTGTGCTTGAATATTGCCTGCAATAGGAATACTATATGTCAAAAGGTTGCAGTATTACAAAAAACACGCCAGAATACATCGAGTGTTGTAAAACGCGCGAATAATAAGGCATACATTTTAGGGATAGATTCTTTTGAATATACATCGATTTCCCTTCAGTGAAAAGCGTAAGAATCTATTCTTCGTTGCTATTTTTCCAGTCGCATCAGATATGTTGGTTTATTATTCTAAGGAAAGAAATATTTGTTAAATTAGTCAGTAAAATTAAACAGTATTGTTAAAATTTACTTCATTTTTCGATCAATCTTTATCCGTTAGAGAAATCTTAATTTTTTGGAATTATTTTATTTTTGTATTATTTCGCATTAGTTGCGAAAATTAATTGAAAATATTACTTGAATGTTTCCTTGTAGGGAAATTCGATACCTCATTGTCAAATATCTATCCCTGAAATATCCACGCCCAAATAGTCACGACATCAGTATTACATATTATTGCAAAGAATTTAATTTACTCCTCACAGATATTCTGACCTTCTGATTTATCCCTATCAAGTTATAGATTAGAGCTGCAAAACGGTCACATTTACAAGTTACAAATCTTCCCATACAAAGTTATACACGCAATAATAAATTCATTCTATCTTAATCGTGTGACGCACAACTTCGTTTATGAGTAGAACCATGTGACGAAAACCGAATCTGTTTGTTATCACACTTTACTTTCACTTACACTCCCACGCTGTCCGAGTACATTGTAACACTTTTATATCTATTTTAATGTGATTCACGTATTCACAATATATATATATATTTATTTATTTATATATACACACACGTACACAAACATTCTTCTTTCTTATTTTCACCTCCGCGATTGTTTTCAGCGTGTGATTGTTCATATCAATGCACAATCTATATTTTCTAGAGTTAACTGGATATCTTCTGTCAAAATTTAATTTTCTGTAGTGATATATTTCCCTCTTGGTTATTCCTCTTACATTAATTGCCAACAAGTTATAATCTTAGCTGAGCAGTGAATTTTAGAAATAACATAAAGTAAAATTATGCACACTTTCACTATACACGAAATATCCCTGATACTGTCGGATAACAAACACTTCGAGTACAAAGGGTTAATATTCTTTAAATAGACTCCATCATATGTGATAATATGTAATATATTCTAATCTTTGTTTGCACACTTCACCGTAATTTAAATGTCTAGATTTAAATCTCGTTATCGAAATATCCATAAATTTTTACATAACCATGTTTTTACATTTACTAGTCATTCGTGATTGGTCGCTTCTTTTTTAAATTAACAATTGAAAACTGTTGAAACTCGTTTTAACAGACGATTTGATTTGCACGAAGTCAAACAAACAGTCGATAATACGTAGCTAACACATTCCAGTCAGCTTTATATCCTCTTCAATATTGCTCCCTTACATCAAAATAACGAACTGTCGCCCAATTTTAAATGTGTTTTTCCACCTTTTGTATTCACAAGTATGTATATCTACTTAACAGTGTCACATATCTACATTACAAGACTGGTCTGATTTTGCAAACGACATTTGCAGTTTGGTACATGCATTTAAAAAGTATAGTGAGTCTCAGAAGAGATCTCTAAATCCAAAATGATCAATTTTGATAGTTTCTCATGTTGCAGTCAGTAAAATAAATTCTCTAAAACTGAAATATTTCGGAAATAATAACAGCAACATAAAGTACACATGCATTGCAATAAAAAAATTAATGTAATTTTAAATATTATGCATTTGTAATTTTAAAAAAATATTTAAAAATCTGTTATTTTATATAATCAAGTTCTAATTTATATATAAATAATATAATTAATTGTATACGTTATTCATAATTATATATAATTTGACTCCCTATTAAAATGTTTTTCATTTATTTTAAAGATGCAAATCTCTAATCTTTCTGGATTTACATTCTTCTGTTCTATAAAGGAAATTTTTGAATTATCTGTCATAATAAAAATGACTGATATTAAACTAAAATTGAGGAACATGATTATTTTGATTCATATTAGAGAGCAATATAAAGAACCAACACCGATCAGTCTTGAAATTATAGTAACCAATAAAATACCGGTCTTATACACATTGCAAAATATATAAATATAGAAGAATAACAACTAAGATTTTCGTAATTATTATGTGATATCGATAATTATAATATTAATTCATAGGCCCTTGCACAGAAAATTGATCGCAATTCAATACGAGTCGTCCCATGCTTAATATTGGGCTTACATTGGGCAAAACGACGCACAGAAACTTGTAACATGCATGCGCTTCTCGTGTAAAATAGGTATTGTAAAAAAGAAAATTCCTTTTTACCATCGACACGTAAAAAGTGCTGTGTATCTTTGTAAATATTAATTGGATTAATTATCTGTATATAAGAATTAATTACTATTAGTTGGCAAATGTGTTCTTTCATTGCGTAGCAAATTTTCTCTCCGCAAGAACTATTCGAGAATCTTTGTGACATATATTATGATAGTTAATCTTCCATTAAAAATTTATATCATTAGCTTAGGTAATTGTAGTCTGAAGTCACTGGACCTACCTAATACGCAAATGTTTACAACATAGTAACGTAATAAAAATCCCAACCCCGTATAATCAAGTTTGCTTGACAATACGAATATATCATAGATAACAACTTTGATCCTTAGATATTTTCGCGAAGCTACGTTTTGCACGAAAAAGAAAAGAGAAATTAAATAAACACTCGATTTAGAATACAATTTAAGGAATTTTGATATACAAATTTTTGTTAATTTTTTTTCAACGTAAATAAAAATATAATGTACAATGCGTTGCAATACATTGTTGGGATAATAGAATTAATTTATATGTACATAACATACAGTGGCTGCCAAAAAGTAATTTTTATTTTCGGCCAATAATTTTATTGTATTAAAAATTATTAAATATCATGTATAAAAAAGTTTTTTATACATGATATTTAATCTTCACTTTTAAATAAATCATACAATATTGACACAATTAGGAATTTAGTCACATGCACTTTTAAAAAGATATCGTAAAGGTTATATGTTGACCGGAAACTTGGCAACCACTGTATATACATGCTTTTTTAGAAATCTCGAAATTGTTAAAGAACAACGAAGTCCATAGAATACGCATGCATTTGTCTTAAACATGGACATATCTAAGGACTTTTCTTTCATTTTTTTAAGTGCTTCACGTTAAAATAAACTAAATCACATTTTAACATAGTTTAAATATCATATATGCATACGAAAGTCGGTGCATTAATGAATTTAATTAAGAAATAAAGAAAAAAATGTCACATTCATTAACAAAAAAATTAATAACTGACGTAACAGTTGCTTAATAGCGATTTGATCAAAAAGAGAAATAAACGAAAGACTTTAGATAGGATTAATTTACTCGTCTAGAATTAAAGCACACGGACGACAAAGTTAATGATGCCTCCGAATTATTCTACGTATGGCAATGCTTAAAGTGTTACCATAAGACACTTTCGGATATATATAAAAAATTCATGTACCTTTATAGTATAATAATATTAAAAATGTACGGCGTGTATAACGTAGTATGTATACTCGTATGTACGAAATTGAATAAAAACCCTTAACAGTAGACCCAGTGCTTTAGACTCAGCACTCGAATACCGTTACGGTGACTTAATTCATTGTCATCGGCACGTATACGCGTACAGCCGTACATATTCGTTTAAATATCTTTCCCTCCGTGTCGCGCGAACATACGTACGCGTCTTTCCGATCAAGTACAATGAAAAACATCGACATGCCGTTTCACTCGTACGTCGATCGGCGCTAAATAATCTTAACTAAATTTCGTAGTACCGACGGTAATTGCAGCTATAATTTCGAAGGGGGGGGACAGCAAATTGCTAACCAGTTAGCACGACCGTCCCGCGTCAGAGAATTCAGGCTGAACCAAGCCAAGTTCGAAAATCGGTTTAAAACTAGGATTAACACCGTTGTCACAACTTCCAGACGAGCTCGGCTTCTAACGTGCCTAACAGGTACGCGGGAGAGCATCCACATAGCGTGGAGCACGATGTAAGAGTACAGGTGTTTTTTACTCACTGTAAAAATCACTGCGATTTTCCTGAGGAGATTCCGCATTCAAATACAAGGCATACAGTCGAGGAAAAACTACTAATAGTAAATAGTAGTACTATAGTAGATTAGTAAATAAGCCTCTCACACAGAAAGCTTCGTTTCGTAGACGAGATGCTAAGATCAATATGCCATCCATTATTATCTTCGTTTCCTCAGTTTGATCGTAGTATTTTCTAATGGAAATGTGAGTGAGCGAAAACACCTTGTATCCTCAAATCGCAGTCCTGGGGACTCCAAAAACTCGTCGAGATATTACATCGATACCCGATGAAAAGTGTAAAAGTATAGTTCCAGTTTCCTGAGAACTGTAATCTCGCTATAAGTACAGCGCGGGCGATGATCGCGCTGAGTTGACTCCGGACTCCGTTCAAGATCGCGACAATGAGTACGCCAAATAGAAACGTAGCGCGGAAACGTGGATGATCTGACGTGGATCATCATTCAATTCTCGGTATTTACAGGCTCGCGGGCGTGATGGATTCGCACGTGCTTGTTGTGATTGGACTTGGTGCCGCTGGACTTGCCGCAGATGTGACACGTGTACGGCCGCGCGCCCGAGTGCACTCGCAGATGCTCCTTGAGATAGTACGAGCGGTGGAAGGTCTTGTTGCAGACGTCGCACGTGTACGCCTTGTTCTCCTCGTGCTCCTTCACGTGCCGCAGGCAGTTGTACTTGCGGATGAACTGCGCGCCGCAGTAGTTGCACGTGTACGGCCGCACGTTCCGATGGGAATTCATGTGGGCCGTGTAATCGCTGTGACGGTAGAACGCCGCGCTGCACTGATTACACTTGAACGGCTTGGTGCTGCGCGCCGCGTGCGTCCACTTGTGCAGCTGCAGGTTCCACTTGGTGCTGAACGCCTTGGAGCAGACCTGGCACTCGTACGGCCGCTCGCCGTTGTGCACGCGCATGTGCACCGCCAGCGACGATCGCAGGTAGATGCACTTGCAGATCGGGCACTCGACGTTCTCGCTCTCGCGCTGGGCGTCGGGGACGAATCGGCGATTGTGAGCGCGACGCATGTGACGCGTCAGGCTGGCCATGTGGATGAACCGCTCGTTGCAGTACGTGCACGCCTTCGGCTTCTCGTCGTGCGTCTCCTTGTGCCAGGCGAGCTTCTTCTTCGTGTGGAACACCTCGCCGCAGTGGCATATGTAGTCCTTGAGCTTCTTCTTGATGTTGAGGTGATGCCTGTTCTTGTGTTGGGTCAGATTCGAGTATCGGCGGAAGGTCTCGTTGCACAGGCTACACCTGACGGGCGCGTTGCCGGTGTGGCCGTTGGTGTGCTCCTCCAGCTTCTGCTTGGTGAGGAACGCCTTGTCGCACACGGTACATGGGAACGGCTTGATGCCCAAATGGCGCTTCATGTGAAGCTTGAAGTTCTGCTTGCGGTAAAAATACTTGCCGCACTGCCCGCACTCCAACGGATGTATCTTCAGGTGGGCGTTGAACAGGAACACCGACGGGAATTCCTCGTTGCATATCTGGCACTTGGCGGTCTCGCGTATGCGTTTGTTCACGTCGGCGATATGCATGCGCCGATGATGCGCCTGCAGAGACTTCTCGCTGTTGAATCGCTGATTGCAAATCGTGCAAATCACCTCGATGTTCGACGGTATCACCAGATTCTCGCCGATCTTCTGGTCGGCCTCGGCCTTCGTCAGGCCGTCCGACTCCGGCTGCGACGGTGGCTGCAGCTGGTGCAAGAGCGGCTGCTGATGGTACATGTGTTGTTGCATGTGTATACTCGGCATGAATATATCGTCGAACATGTTCATGCGACTGTCCAGCAACTTGATGTCCTTCACCTCCGGCTGGTCCAACTGGTCTCTACTGCTACTGGGCATCGCATCCTTGTGCACCGTTGTGCTATGAACTCTACGTTCCTTCGGACAATCAAACACTTCGCTACAGTGGGAACACTTGAATGTTCGTTTGGTTGGTGTCTTCCGGTCGCGATCCAGAAACAGACTCGAAGTAAAGTGCGTGGCCAACGATCTACTGTCCAACAACGGCCCGCTGATCTCGTTGTCGGATCCTTCTGATTCTTCCCAGCTTTCTCGAGCCAACAGATCGTAAGAAGTGGACATGCGCGAAGATTCTTGACCCATGTACAACTGTACAGTAAAAACGCATTTTAGAAACAAAAATTACACAAAATTATACAAAAACGTGGTTAATAAATAATTAATATATATGAATATGTAGATTTTCACTGCCAATATTTTTAAATGTCGTACGAATGGTAATAAGCGATTTTACGTTTATTTATATTACTAGATTTATCACTATTTAAATTGCATAACTTTTAGCTTAACTACATTTATTTAATCTTTATATAATTATGTATATATATATATATATATATATATATATATAATTATAAAATGTATTAATTATATACAAATTGTATAATATGTTGTAGCATACAACACTGTCACTGTAGCAATAACATAACATGATAATTTTATTAATATTTTTTTCAACTATAAAATCTATCATTAATATAATATAAATATAATAAATTCAAATATAACACTTTTAATAACACTTATAATAATTTCAACAATAATTTTAAACAAATAATGTAACAAAATGTTTAATAATATTGTTCTCTTTAATAATTGGCCTTGGAATGGACGCGCAGGGCATAACTTACAATCAGTGTATTGTAATAACTGTAAAAAATCAACTTAAAATTTTAATAATAATAATAAATATAAATAAATCTTTTAATTATAATATATCAATTTATCATAAAATAAGTAAATAAATAAAAAAAATTTTTCTTTTGTATGTATCTTTTATTACACGTGCATTGGAAAAGTCTGAGGATGCAATTATGAATCAAAATATTTACGCAACGTCTTTGTGGATATAAAAGATTGATTGCAAAAACCGTAAGTCGTATAAATAATACAAAGATATGAATAAAGAACTGTGCATAAAAAAAAAACCTATACCGTACATAAAAACATGAGGAAAAATGCACGTTACAAACCTGCCATGCAGATTGCTCCGTGCATCCGTTACTCTCCTGTTCCGACAATTCGCCCCTGGGCGGCATGGTCTCATCGGCACGCATATTAATACTCTTCACCTCCTCGTCGATACCTATTGCACCCTCGCTACTCGCCATAGATTGCTGGCTCGTGGCACTCACCGCTTTCTGAGACGAGTCACTTATAAACGTACTAGGAACTAATATTTGCAGTCCGTCGAATTCAAAGACATTCATTGGCCCGGCGTGAGCATCCTCATTTATGTTGAGCAGTTCCATCGATTGCTTCGGCATCAACGACTTGGCGGAGTGAAAGCTCCTGGACTCGGTGCTGGTTGTGGGATTTATCGACTCGGAGAGATTCAGGAGGTTCTGCGTCTTGGTGCTCGTCGTAATCGAGTACGACTCGTGCATCAAGACGGACGACTGCGAGTGTATCACGGGGAATGAACTAATGTGCTCGGTTATCACTGACTGATGATACGCGTAGCTGCTGCTCGATTCCTGAATCTTCGCAACGCTTCCGCACACCGCCGCCACCTGCGCCTCCTGATGCTGATGATCAGTCTTGATTTTCTCCTCCTCCACCTGAGAACAGTCGATCGGATCCTTCTCCGCGATATTACCCACGCCGTTGCTGTCCTCGTCGTGCGTTACGCTATCGCTGTCCACGTGGTGAAACGAATGTATGGATGTGGGTGAGCACGGCTTGCTGAGATCCTTTCTGACTCTTAACACTGAAATACCGCTGATCGTGGACAGCGGCGTGTGCGACCTGACGCCGCAGTCCGCGAAAGGCGTGTGCGGGCTGGGGATCTCGTCGATCTCCATGTCCGCCTCGTCAAAGTTGTCCTCCTCGTCGATCTTCTCGTCCTCGTCCACGTCCTCGTCGTCCTCGTCGTCGTCATCGTCGTCGTCGTCGTCGTCGTCGTCGTGCATGGCTGCGGCGTCGTCGAAGCCGACGCGGTGACGATACGCGCCGAGGTTTTCGCACGAGCCGTGCTCCGAACGCGATCTGTATAAACGACGCGCGGCCCTGCGGGTCGTGCCCTTCCTTCTCGCGACCGGGGACGCGGGCGCTGAAAAACTATACTTATAATTATCCGAGTGAAAAGTCCGCTCCAGCCGTTCCAGCGCTTCATTCATCTTCGAGTCCGCTCTGTGCGACGAGCACGTTTTTTCTAACATTCTCAGTTCGCTAGCCAGGTAATTGCTCGAGTCCCACTTGTTCTCCTCCTGTATGTCGAGCAACGCATGATCCTTCTCGTGAGAGCCCGAGATCGTGACTACCGTATCGTGAATCACGCTCTCCTCCCTATCCACCACAGGGGTTTTCTCCTTCACGTCCACCAATCCCTCCCGATCGTCTTGCGCGTCACTATCTTTCTGCAGTGAAGCGTTATTGAGCTCCGTCTCCATTATGGTTATCAAATTCTCCAATTTTTCTACCGAATTAAGCTCGGGTTGAACGGAGTCCTTCAGTGCGTCTATTGCTATCAGATCCCGCGGTGATCCAACATTATTGTTGACGGCGCTGCTGCGACTCGCCGGCCTCCCGTCACTCGTCATCTCCGTTTCGCGCTCGCAAGAGTCAATGTCAATTGTGCACATGGGTGTTTTACTATTGGATACACTCGCGTATCCCTCCTCGATGACCTGCTGCGTAAACTGTTGCGTTTCCGGTTGCTCGTACGTTACAGATTTACACTGCAAGTCTACGGTCGAAATGTGGCTGTTTGACGGCTCCTCATCCACCATGTCCGGCAATACACTCTCCACTTTGTCGTCGGCATTATCTATAGCGCAAGCAATTGTAATAGATCTAGTGATAGCATTGTATTCGTGCTGCACCGTGCTATCGTCGGAAGGCGTGGAACTCTGCGTCTGCTGTCCTCGGTGATCGATTGGCAGCGTGCCGCTGCTGTCGCTCTCCTCTCTCGCCCTGATGGATGCGTCCTCGCTCTGCAGCACCGGCGACGCCGAGAGGCTCACATCCGGCATAATCTGGCCGGACTCGGGCTCCGCGTCCGGCAAGATCTCCGGCAGAATCTGCTTCGGCTCGGGACTATTTACAGGAACCGTCAGGGTTCTGACGTTGCTCTCCCCGGCCATAGTGACCACCGGTCGTACCCTCGTCGTCGCGCCCGGGATAGCTGCAACTGGTGAGATCATTTGGACGGTGGGTATTTGCTGTTGGTACATACCGTATGGATTGTACAGCATCTGCATCATCTGATTGGCCTGCGGCGCCATCGCGTACTGCGGTATCATCATGGTCCCATTGTTCACGAATTGCTGATAGCTGAATGAGGTGAACTGCGGCGGCATCATGGTGCTTATGGGCGGACATTCGAATATGGGTCCTACGGGATACGGAGAGTGAGTAGAAATTTGCGCGTTCTGCGATACTTGGGAGGACGCTTGGGGCGACTGAATGGAGGTAGGGGTCTGAAGCGCAGCCTGTGGCTGCAGTGATAATGGTAGTGACGTTGCTGACGATGATGCTGATAGAGTTTGCTGGGGCTGCTGTTGCTGTTGTAGTTGTTGTTGCTGCTGCTGCTGCTGCTGCGTTTGCGACGAAGAGGCGCTGGCTTTGATGAGAGCATCTATAACCTGTTCCTTGGGATGAGTATCCAGATGCTTCTGCAGACTGATGCCCTCGCGCAAATACAGGGTACACACAGGACAGGCCACGGCCCCGACGGGCGTTCCCGTGCCGTTGAGCTCCATCGTTATCCACGATCGGCGGTCACCTTAACACGTACAATCGAATTGGCGACTTAGCAGAAGAGCGTTCCTCGCGGATGACGAGCCGACAACGAACGGACCTTCTCGTAGTACGTAGGCATCCGCTTCTCGTTCAAGACCAATCGCAATCGTGTGTGTCGCGTGTGTCTCTCTCTCTCTCTCTCTTCCTTTCTCTTCTTTTTTTCTTTCTCTCTCTCTCTCTTTCTCGCTCTCTCTCCTTCTTCTGGCCACGCTCTTCTCTTCGTGTTGAAACGGAATAATCGTCGCCGGGGCGGCCGTCTAGCGTCACATCTCGTCGCCTATCGGGCACGCGGTCGCACACGCACACGGCACAGCTGCACACCGCTGTGCCCCAAAAATATCGACGTCCATGGCTGTCCCCGTAACGCCTGACAGCCGTACGCGGTGCTGCGTGTCCTGTGCGGTGTGCCGCGAGCAGCAGCGGCGGTGGCGGCGACAACGGTGGCGGCGGCGGCGGCACTGGCTCGCCGCCACCAGACAAATCGATATCCTGTTAAATCGCCAGCCAGCCACCAGCCTCCCCAGCCTGCCTGCGCTTATTAAATTACACCTGCCTGCACGCGGCGCGGCCGACGCACGACGGACGGACGGACGCGCGCGTGTTGGGACGCGCGGCGCGGATCACTCCGGGCACTCGCGGCACTCCGCGCACCACGACGGCTGTCCCTTTCGCGCGGCGATTATCGCGACGGCATGTCTCCCTTTTCTATCCCCCTACGACGGCACGGTCCCGGCCCCAAAAACACAACAGAAAACAGCGACGGGCGATGATAATTCCGTCTGGGAACGGGAGCGACAAGAGCCACCCGAGGGGGCTACGGGGCGAATGTGGCGCTCCCTGGCGTTTCGCCACCCATGGCGTTCTTTTACGCGTTCGGAAGATTACGTCTGACACCTGTTCTTATTACCGACAGATTCTCAATGCCCAACAGGGGCCCCCTCTACGTCGCCGCATGTCAGATCGAGTATGCCAATCTTGAGTGTAAAGGCGGATTCACACCTTGACAGAAAAGCGGAAAACAGAAAAGCAGAAGCCAATCAGAACTCGCACTGGTAGCAAAAAAAAACAGAAAGAAAAAACTATTAACTACCAACGCGAGTTTTGATTGGCTTTGTGCTTTTCTGTTTTCCACTTTTCTGTCAAGGTGTGAATTCGCCATAAAAGTCCCGAAACACAGTAGATGCAGAGAGAGAAGCATGAGAGCGGCCATCCCGGCGTTTTTCGCAACACTAGAGTTATCAGAGAAGCGCGGCGACCGGTGTTACGAGTCCTGATTGGACTCGCAAATTGCCGATTATAAGATTGATTTATCGGTATTATAAATGGCTGCCGAATTAATCAATCTTATGATTGGCCATTCGACGCCATTTTTAATATTTTTTAGTACTTTTGCGGTACTGCCATAAGTCGGTCGCGCTTCTCTGATAATCTTCTAGCTCTACTCAAGTATATAAAAGTCTGGACAAGGAAGATGTGAAGCGATGCAATAAAATAGACAATGCAATTGAGAATGCCAACAAAAATCATACCGATATGATTGTATTGGAAAATCGATGTTCCTCCAAAGTATTCGATCATGATTTTATTAGCTCTAAGGTAAATTGCAATTATATAACCCGAAAGATTTTAATTGTGTGATTAATACAATATATATAAATTGCAATTTACGTAGGAGCTGAATCAAACCATGTTCAAACACTTTGGAGGAATGTAGATTTTCCAATACAATTTTCATATCGGTATGTTTTTATCGGTAATTTTACGGTTTTTTTTTTTAATCCTTTTATCTCCTTATGTGGAGACATAGGACGTCTACAAGCCTCTTCCATTTTATTTTATTAGGGGCAATCGCCTTTTATTTCTGCCCAGGCTCATAATGTGGGGTGAAGGATCGAACTCGAGACCGCCGATTATTGAGTCAACGTGCTCGCACGTCGAGCCATTCGTTACCCCGCGGCCCGTATTCGTTTCTCGAATCAATTGCTTTTCGGGTGCTTGCGAGTGATTGGCCCACAGGATCCTATCCAGCCGTCAGAGTTGTGCTGACTGTCGGTTGGCCGGAAGAACCAGTGGCGGCCTCTGATCCCACGATGAAGTGAATAGCTGTCCCTTCTTTTCAACGCTCTCCAGCTCCCCTTCGTATTCATTAATTTATTATTTATCATAATTATTCTCTACGCTATCAAGTGTGACACACTATATAGCTCGAGGGGACCCCCACGACATTACGTTGTAATTTTTCTACCTTTTTGTTTTTATTACGAGAAAGTGAAGAGTATATTTAATTATTTTTTTTTTCCTTACTTTTACAAGTATGTACATACATTTAATCCGATGATGTTTACACTGTGTGTCGCGGGTGATACGTGCCACATCGCATAACCTCCAAAGTAGTGCGTGACAACAATTTTTATCCGTGCTCTTTTGCCCGTACAGATTTCCTTCGTTTTACAAAGCGATAACGATGGCAGGATGTTACGATAAGCTGTCCTGGACGGGTGAGTCTGGTCTGTCACATGTGACTTAACGTAATACACGTTATCTCCTTTTCTACTTAATTCTGAGGCAAACATTAATGTTAATGCTGCGTTTTAAACATTGATGATAACGTTGCATTAGGCGTATTGCCTTCAGAAAGTATCATAGGTAAAATTTAAGTGATGAATTTTTTAAAATAAATATTCTACATCATGGAGTAATTTAATCTTAACATTAAAAAACTTTTGCGAAAAGTTTGGTAAATTATTGTTGAATTAAAGATTCGACACTGTAAGCATATTTTAAACTCATATTTTCATATATTTTTACACATTTTATTTGGTTTGAGTATTCTAATAATGTGTATCCTTTATTACTTATGAATTTACTTCAGATATTAAAACATAATAAAAATATTACATTAATAACTTGCTAAACGAGGATATTATTTTGATAATTATTTTATTAGAATCAATTGCATTGCATTATTCTTCTGTCCTTTGGTTGATAATTTTTTATACTTATGCTTTTGTTATACAGAAGTACGAGACTTACTGAGAACTTGGAGGGAAGATTCCGAGCGACGAAGTAAAGATGTAGTGGACTTTTGGGAAACACATTGATGGGAAAGATTGATCGTTTGGGCAATGAAAGTACTATCAATATACCTTATTCTTATTCTTAAAACCATTAAAAGTTTATATTGTAACAATATGATGTTTTATCTTTCATTATTCAGAATATCTGATTCTGGAGCAAGTGTGTGTAGCAGCATTGGATTGTTACCGATTGCCATTAGCTGAATACTGCATCAAAATTTTAATGCGTGCTTTCCCTGGCAGCTTGCGTGTTCACAAGTACCATGCCATGCATTTGGAAGCGTTAGAAATGTAATTTTATAATGTGTCATTAAGTATTTGCAAATATGTAGTAATATTTGTCCTGATGCTCCATATTAATATTTTTTTTCCAGGTACGATGAGGCGATGGAAGTTTTGGATTCTATCATAAAAAGAGATGAGACCAATGCCGCACCGAGAAAACGTCGTGTTGCTATTTTGAAAGCTCGAGGACGCATTCCCGAAGCAATCAAAGAGCTTACAGAGTATCTGAAAAGGTCGGTGATACGTATTACTTTTACATTTTAATGTATACATTTTTTAAGAGTTTCATAAAAATGTATTAGTAACATCATAATAAATCATTATTTAGATTTATGAGCGATCAAGAAGCTTGGCACGAGCTGTGTGACCTGTATTTACAAGAACAGGAGTATTCCAAAGCAGCTTATTGCATGGAAGAACTTATATTGCATAACCCACACAGTCATTTAATTTACCAAAGATATGCGGAAATAAAATATTCTCAGGTATATAATACATCTAGGGATTTGACATTTTTTTTTTATTAGTTAATATGAAGGTATTAATTTATTTACATTCATAAAAAGTGCAACATAAGCTTACTAAATTAATATATACCGTAGATATCTTTATATATACTATTAATGTAAAATTAATGTAAAAAGCTTATAAATTATACTTTATACAGGGCGGATTTGATAATATGGAACTAGCAAAAGCATACTTCTGCCAAGCTGCGAAATTAAATCCAAATAATATTAGAGCTCTATATGGCTTATTATTAGTAAGTTTTATTATCGCATTACAATGCTACGCAGTAATCATGAAAAGTACGTTCTTGAAAACATCTAATTTCAGACAACAAATAATATTGCGACATCGCCCAAATGCCCTTCGTCCAAGAAGAAGGAAGCAATGAAGCTGAGTGAGTGGGCTAGTAAACAAATTGAGAAACAGTATGAAAGTAAAGTCTCAAATGAGGATGTTAAAAACGTAGAACGTTTACTAGGACAATTGCAACTCGAAGCTTAGGTATTATGTTATGTAACTATTCTTATATTTAATTTCTCGTGGGAGGCATACGTAAGCGATATATGTTTCAAGACATTGCAATAACGATTTCCAAAGAATCTACCGAACATGAAAAAAAAAACTTCGGACACGTTTTTTAACTCTGTAGTTTTAACAAAAATCCGATCGGGATACATTCGAACAGTATTTTCTGTCTTGTTCTCTTTGTTTTGTAACATATGTATACATCACGCTCTAGATTGATTTTATCGTATTCTAGATAATTTTACCAATATCTATGTACAATTGTATATGTTCATATACATTAGTTAATTGATCTATTAATACCCGTTGTTGGGTTTTATGTGCACCATACGTAATTATCTTCTGAATATACATTCGTACCTTGCTGTATAATGTTAAGTAAATGTTATAATCATTGATTTTGTGATCGTGGTCACTCTTGGCTCTATGTAATTCGTTTTGTGTTATCGTTATTTCACTGTTATTTAAGTTAATCTTGTATATTAATGCAATAAAAAACGGCGTTGGATGGATAGGATATATCATGTGTCAAAAAATATCATTTATTTCTAAATTGTTGTAATAGTTAACTTTGTTTTCATATCAACTTCTACAACTATTCTGTACATAATAAACAAGAATTGTAAAATTAGTCACATCTTGATAAGTAATTTTGAATAATTATATATCTTCTCGCAATGGAAGATATATAAAATTGAAAGGTCTAGAAGTCTGCTCCTTTAATACTATACAAGATTACTCTACAGTCATCTTTCAGTAACTTCCTTGTTACTACGTTCCCACTCCTCTCGTCTCTTCGCTCTTTCTGCGGATTTCCTCATTCGTTTTTCCTTCCTCGTTTCCTCACGTAATGCAAAATATTTCTCACGGAAATCGGTTAAATTCTTGATAACACTCTCGTCGGTTGCCTGTTATCAAGTATTTAAAAATATTGATATATAATTTATAATTATACCATCAAAAAATGAAAGATAATAGAAAATAACAAGACTCGATTTTAATTTTGAAAAGAGAAAATTGTTTCTCTATTGGTAAATATGAATCCCATCTCAGTACATGTTTTTATCTTATCTGAGATTTTTTTAGATGTGATACAAAACTAAGTAAGAATTAATAAAATTTTGTTACAACTTATGTACCTCCGGTTCTTTAACTTTCTTGTAAGTTAATAATCTTCTACTCGTGTAGTTGCTCAATATTTGTTCGGAATTGGCTACCAGCTCCAAGCAAGAATGTGCTGGTAACTGATCTTCCATGTACTGATCTCTAAATCATAAATTTGACAATATTTGTTTACTAATCAATAAATAATTAGTAATCGCTTGATAATTTCTAGTTCTGCGACATTTTTTCTTTACATGTATAAATATTAAATAAATGTATATACCTAAACAATGGATACCAACAGACCAGTCTACCTTGAAGTTTCAGATGTTTCGCGGAGAAACACAACAAGTCTCTATATATTTGATTCAGGCCATAAACAATTTTTGATGGAATGTGAGAGGTTGCTTGATGCTCTTCTATCACCGGATTGATCTTCATACTACCTATACGTTCAGTAGCTTCCCTTATACCATAAGGTGCTGTGCAAAAGAATTTTACATTAAATTCGTATCATAAAACGTAATTTGTTCTATTTATAAATCTTAAAGAATTTCCATAAATTATATTTGTAGATTTTATGCAATATTTATATACTCACGATCCGTTACAATAGCATCAATTCTTAAATCTGCCCGCCACAAGGGATACGAAAAATCTGCCACCACGACATCGAGAAAATAAGAACTCATTCCATATTGATGCATGTTTGCTGCGATACTCTCGTCTTTTTCCCTTGTCTGATACATTCAATACAATTACTTAACTGTGCTTTTTTGTAATATTTTGCATGGATAAATAATGATTAAATTCTCGTCAGCGAGATACCTTTTGCGATATCCGTGTAGGCCTCGTGCGGCCGTGAAGCATCAAAAAATCGATATCAGTCCCGAATGTATATCCTCCAAAATGAGATGCGGCAATTAACAAGGAGCCTGTTCCCACAAACGGATCAATAACTAGATCCCCATTTCTAATCTGTGCCTGATTCGCCATTATCAGCGACAGCTGAGGATCCATTGACGTATTTCCTATAAATTTCCTAGTTTTTAGTGACAACTTTTGAATTAACTCTCGCTGACCATCGGCAATCTATAATAAAATAATATTACAGCCTATAAATAATGATTAATATAAAATTATGTTACTCACCCATCTTCCAAAGAAATATTCATAGGGTTCTTCAGGAATGTCATTGGGATTAAGTCCATAATATTCTATATAGCATAGAGTGATATCTGGATTTTTCAATTTAACTGGCCCTTCAAAAGGTAGATAACTGAAAGACTTTCCCAAAATTGCATTCAATTAATTATATTATGTTAATCAAAATATATTATTAAATAATTATTATACTTTCAGCAATTATATCTTATTGCAGTTTTAGGATTCATGCTAAAGTATATAATCGAGAAATATCTACTTACTTCAATTTTATTTATTTTTTCACGTTGCGAGAAATGTTTACAGAATGTCTCCACTACGATCTTAAATGATTTTTTCTTGTCTCTCGCCATGGCCTCCGAATTTTTGACTGAGTAATCTTTCAAAGAACTGTGCAAATTTTCATTTCGTTTATCTTGCGCCCAAAGCTCCAAACAAAAGCGTAATGAAACTGCTCTACTGGCGACTTGATGCACTTTATTTTCGTCGGGTAAATCTACAATCCAGTAAGGCTGAAAAAATTTGACAAATCTATTTCTTTGTTCACACTATACTTCACACTGTACATTATTTGCTTCAATATATATTAATGATATTAACTTTTTTACTAATTATTATTAAAACTTGGTGTCTTTTCATATAAGTTACATTAAGTTATAAATTAGCAAGTTAAAAATACAGGTTTTTTCGTGTTATATTTTATATCTTTATAAGTCATCAGATTTGTCTCATTAATTATTTCATGACTACTACTATTATTTTACAATACAAATGAAAAAAATGCTTTTTGCAAAGAAATTGCTTCTAAATCTATGTGTCATATAAACCAGTGTGGTTTCTAAAAATATACATTACATAATATAAATATTTAATTATCTTCATACTTCCTTACATGTTCCTTCGGCCTCGTCATTGTGCATGGATTAATGTTAAACATGTCAAATATAGATTCCATTTCCTGAAACATGCAAAATATGAAAATAATATTCAATTTTGCTTTTTAAATACACATTTATGAAAGCACCAAATCTGAAATTTATTACAAGATATCAGAAATAACTTTCCTTTAAACACAAAATATAAATATATATATATAACACATTCTTTTCAAACAATAAATATAAAAATAATATTACATTTCTTTTTCTATGTAAAACTTATTGGCACAAAAATCTTACAGTCCACTGTGCAAAAACACAAATATTATAAAAGGTAAAAATGTAAAAAAAAAAAAATAATTTTTTAAATATAAAACAGATTAAAAAAAATTTGACATACTATTATATATCGAATAGGTATATAGCAACACTTCAAGAAATCATTCTATAATATCTGATCATTAAATTTGATGAGAAAGTACTCACGGCGAGCCGGAAATCAACGTGCTCGTGCGCAAACCAAAATAAATATCTTTTCAATTGATTGCTCATTTTTAACATCGCTTAATATCACAAATCGTTACATCAAACGCCGCATTAAATATATATATAAGCCTTGTGGAGCGTGTTGTTGTTGATAGTAACCTAACCTCAAATCAACAAACCAGCGACTACGGAATTTTACAAGGTTAGGAAGTTCAACGTTTTCTGATTGCATGACTGGAAGCGCCGCGTGTGATGCATTCTCTCATTTTCCTTGGAACGCGAAAGAGGGAGGAAGAGAGACACGCGGTTTTCTCCCTTCAGAAAAGCGGTACGTATATCGATTGGCTGACACGTGATTTGCAGGTTATCCTCCAAGCAGCGTAATCCCGACAGCACTCGTAAACATTACGCGCAATCGTCTGTTCGTCGACTTGCATCAATTACATGCGGATTGTCTCGTCAAACGACTCGTATAATTTCTCTCTCCGCGGTATAATTCCCGTACTTCCGAAGGATGCTACGAATATTTCAGAGACAGATCCTCCGAAACGTACGTGGTGGCAGGAGATTGAACACATGGTCGCCCCTCGCCACGGCGTTTAATTCCACTGACAACAATGAGCATCATCCGGCGAATGTATTGACGAAAGAAACGGTAAGGCCGCGAACTGGTCCGACCAGTTTAATTTGTGGCAATTCAAAAATGAGTTTTTATATATTTTTATCATTTATAAAATAATATTAAATCGGTGCACTTTTCATCAAAATTTAAAGTGAGAAGACCTCGAGAAAAATGAGTGTCAAATTGATATGACTTTATATAATTAATTGACAATTGATATTTGAACAGAAACAATCACAGTATAACACAGTAAGATAAATTCGCGTAATTTTATACGTCTGTCAAATTATATTTTGCGTATGTCTTATTATTTAATGTCCTCAAGGGATTGCTTGGCATTCCGGAGCTAAAAACTGAGGATGGCTTTGATACATTGAAAAATCGTGCGCTGGCGGAAGTTGACGTTCTCATCGAGGAAGCGACGAGCAAGAATAGAAGGAAAAAAATGGTAGAAATATTTGACGAATTGTCCAACACGCTGTGTAAAGTAGCAGACATGGCGGAGTTTATTAGAGTCGCTCATCCTGATCAACGATACGTTCAAGCTGCTGAAGACGCTTGCATAACTATTAGCGGCATGGTCGAGAAGTGAGTACACTTTTGAAATTGTTATCTACTTAATTGTTGCATGGCAGTTTATTTATTATATTATAGTTCTTTAAATGTCTATGAATATATTATTTTTAATGTTTAATTTATTTTGTCATTGAAACTTAAGAAATTTTTTCTGAATTCTTAAGTTATAATTTAGATTTTGTACATGGATTTGAGCTTTTACTCTCAATAGATTTAAGCTATAAACAACTATAATAAAGATATAAGAATAACTGCAATATTTTTAATAAACATTGATTATTAATAAGATTATTAGATTATCGATTTATAGAGTATAACAATTATATTTATAAATTGGACTTTCTACAGATTAAACACACACCGTCGGTTATATGATTCGCTAAAACAAGTGACAAGTAATGGTGATAAGCAGAAGCGGCATCCGATATAGACGATCACGTAGCTAAGTTATTCCTATTCGATTTTGAGCAATGTGGTATACACTTGCCCGAAAAACAAAGGAGAAAAGTGGTCGAGCTGAACGATTATATCCTGCAAGTAAATATTATTTATGGATATCCCTAATTGCGCGTCAAATCTGTCAATATAATTTTTCTTTTAATCCTTAGGTAGGTCAAAAGTTCATGGCTGGCGCTGTTACCCCGAGGACAGTTAATGCCGACCTGTTACCGGACGTCATCAGGCACTAGTAAGTGCGGTAAACTTAATCGACCATTCGTTTCGTCATTTGACTGAATTCTACCGTTTTGTTTAAAACTTTTCGAAGGTTTAGCTTTAGAAAAGTATCTCGTTGATATCGGATACGTTTCACAGTTTTGTAACGGAGAACGGTCAGGTATTAGTGCAAGGATTTTACACAGACTCTTCTAACACCGCTGTTCGCGAAGCGGCATACAAATTGTTCCTATTCCCGGACAAGGAGCAAGAATATCTGTTGCACGAGCTCTTGCACTCCAGGCATCTGCTGGCGGAATCTTGCGGATTTCCATCATATGCACACAGGTAATTTCAATCAAATTACAATTTTTCGGACAAAAGCAATGTGATTTAAAAATTTCTTATTATAGAGCTGTAAAAGGGAGTACAGTCAAATCGCCGGTCGTAGTGAAGGAATTTCTCAATATATTAAACGACAATTTGCAGCCTAAAGCGACGCAAGATTTTCAAGAGATGCAAAGGATGAAAAATGCAGAGTCACATATGAAACAAGTTTGTATCTATAGTTGTACTATATTTATAATGCTATTTATATGATTACACTATTTGTGTAATTGTATCAAATCAAATGTGCGGCGGTCGTAGTTCCCTTATTCCTATTTTCTATTTCACAACTGTAAAGTTATTTATTTTTTTTTCTTTGTTAAACAGGAATTGATGCCATGGGATACCCCCTATTTCATGGCAAAGGCGAAAAAAGCTTGGTTAAATACTTCCACCACCGAGTTTGCTCCGTACTTCTCTCTTGGCGCCTGTATGGAGGGATTAAATTTCCTTACACAGTCATTGTACAGAGTGAAGCTCGAATCCGTCCCAGTGTTATCCGGAGAGGTATGGGCGAATAACGTTCACAAATTAGCTGTAATAGACGAAGAGGAAGGAACCTTGGGTTATATCTATTGCGATTTCTACGAAAGAGCAGGGAAGCCTAATCAAGACTGTCACTTTACGATCCAAGGTGGAAAGCAACTTTCAGACGGCTCTTATCAGGTATAAATTATTATATATATATATAATAGCTGAATATGTTTTTCTGTTATTAATGTTCTCGTTATCATCAATTTTCCCTTTTCAATATTTCCTTTCTTATTTATACGTTTATATTTGTGCAATTACATACAATTACAGAAATGGTAACAATCTTATATAACGCCATTATCGTCGATTTCAGATTCCCATCGTTGTACTTATGCTATCACTGCCGCAGCCACGTTGGTCAAATCCATGTTTATTGAGTCCGTCATCTGTGGACAATTTGTTTCACGAAATGGGACACGCATTACACTCTATGCTCGGTCGAACGAAATATCAGCACGTCACTGGTACTAGATGCAGCACAGATTTCGCGGAAGTGCCAAGTGTGCTAATGGAATATTTTGCGAGTGATCCTAGGGTAAATATTCAATAATATAGTGTAGTACGAATTATTATAGTTACTGAAATTATACCAAATTTGTGCTGGCACTACACGATGAATGTTTTAATTACGCAATCACAGGTTGTATCGAAGTTCGCGAAGCATTTCCAAACTCAAGAACCGATGCCGGAAAACTTGCTGCACAAATTATGCGCCTCGAAGAATATCTTTTATGCCTCTGAATTACAAAATCAAGTGTTTTATAGCATGTTGGATCAAGTATATCACAGTGGTAAACTAACAAAGTCTACCACCGAAATTTTAGAAGATGTACAGAAGGAATATTATGGTCTTCCATATGTAAAAAATACGGTATATATTTTTATTAGCTTTCTAGATTGATTAAAAGCACAGCTGTAACAGAAGTTCTGTAGAAAATAGTGAAAAATTCGTAGAACGCGAAAAAGATTTACTTTAACATTTTTTATTAATCTTTTTTTTAATTAAATATATGTGAATTATTCTGTAAGCGTGTAACTGAAAGTTTGACCAAATAATTAGTTATAAATTTTTCAATAAGTGGAATTAGTTTCGATTCTTATATGTAGATTCAATATAACTAATATAACTTAATACTACAATTAATCTTATCGTTTTGCTTGTTCATAGGCATGGCAATTGAGATTCTCTCATTTGGTTGGATACGGTGCAAAATATTATTCTTATCTAATATCTCGTGCAATTGCCGCATGGATTTGGCAAACCTACTTTCATAACGATCCCTTCTGTCAATCAGCGGGCAATCGTTATCGAAGAGAATGCTTGGCGCACGGAGGCGGTAAACCTGCATCGCTGTTAGTGTCGGATTTTTTAAACAAGGAAGCTAATGCCGTTACATTTGCACAATCGTTAATTAATGAAGTTGATATGAAAAATCTACATGTGCAAATGATTAAGTAATTTATGTAAATTTTTCTTGTACAGATGTGCAGCGAATGTATGTTTCATACGAATATTACAGCATTGTAACAAATTCCTCGCAGTAAAATATATAGAATACATTTTTATAAAAAGAGTAATTATTGAAATAGCCTATTGCTGAAAAGTCATATATGAAGAATATTTTGTTTTTATTTTTAATGGCAATTAACAACAAATTCTTGCACTAATGTGAAATCCATTTTTTTCTCATCAAGAAAATATTGCGACTTTTTAATTTACATTACAAATTCCCAATTAAAATTGAATCCCAATGTCTTGAACTTAAAGAATATGTCATTTATTTATTTTGATTTTTAGGAAAATTCAAGCAGAACATTTTGTTATAGAAAAAAAATTGGAAACCATCAGATTACTGAATTATTAAATGAATCTGATAATGAAAAATTAGTAAAAATGAGACATTTTATATGAATCCCTTTTTTTACATTTCATTATACAAATAAACGCAAAATGATAAGTATGACGACATTACTGTTGTTACAAAGTGACGTTAATTTTTTTTTCTTAATTGTATTTTTTTATTATAAGTACAGAACCCCTTACTCTCTATGTACAATTTCGATAGACCTATGAATTATTACAAAAAAATAAGTTTTATGGTGTCGTACATATAATTGAAACGCAGTATAAAATAATTTATGTGAGAAGATATTAAGTTTATATACTCTACCTTCACTTCCTGAGGTTATTCCTAAATCTGTACATGGCAACGTGAAGCTATAATCTTCTCTCGTTAGAAGGATTCGCAAGTGACGTACCAAAACGCTGTTTTGCTGGCAGTACTATCTTCTCTCTCTCTCTCTCTCTCAATTAAGAAAATTACCGATAGTCTTTCAGTATGCATTTATAATGCATAGCTGCATTTGTGTTGATGTTTCGCAGATTTATGTTAAATGTTGAAACTCTCTTTAGTAAATATTTCCATCGAAATAAGCTGAACATTCCTGTCAGTAAACGTCTTGGTAAAAGTGTAATTATTTACTAATCTATAGTTTATAGATACATGGACACGAAATGATTTAACAAGCCATGATCACGAATGATCGTTTACTCTCGTGTAATTCCTAGTATTATCTTTCGGCAATGATAATGAATATATATATATATGTATATATATATATATATATATATATATATATATATCGGTTTTCAATAACAATCGCGATCCATGTACGTCATGTAGTTTCCTATTTATTGACATCTTATTTATCTTACTCTGTCGTCTCGCCGTTGTATAGTTAGAATTTTGATTCAAGACTGGACACTTTCCTTTTACATATTTTGTATAACAATGCCGTAGTTTTAGGATTTGTAGGACTTGTGAAATTGAAATGTGTCAATGTTCGCTTATTGCTACCCCTCACTTCCCAGCTATTTTTTCATAGCATGTAATGCCCAATTTCAGGGACTAATCTGAAATCGTGAAGTTTTTGACATATGTCATATCACTTAAAAAAAAACACATCTGGAATAATATCTTATTATGCGAAAAACTATTGGCAGATTAGATAGTATTATTAATCATACACGGAGAGAATTTTATTTTAAAATTTACCCTGAAAATCATGTTAATCGTAGGACAACATAGCATTTCGACAAATTTTCTGTGATTTTTCACTTTTTTTTAAATATTTACTACAACAAATTTATTGTAGTGCAAAATAAAAAAATAGATAAAATCACATAAAATTTGTCGAAATACTGTTGTCCCACAATTAACATTTTCAGGGTAAACTTGAAAAGAGGAAATTCTCTCCGTGTATATTCCGTTTTGTTAAATTTGTTATAATTAATATAAACCTTAATATGTACTTAATATAAATTAACATATAATTATAATATTAGTAATATGCTTTTAAATAATGAATGATATACATCGAAAATTTTCGACAATCTTAGAATATTTGTGTCCCTAAAATCGAGTATCGCGCGCTACAAGGAAACAGCTATAAAGTGAAAAACGTAGGAACGACAATAGGGACGAACAGCGATGCATTTCAAGCATCTCAAACTACAAATCCGGATAGCACTGATGTACAACATAGAGATACAGCATGTTTCTATTATTTTTATCTGTACAGTTTCAAAGAATATTTGAAATGTTAAAAATGTTTTTAAAAACACGAAGACAAGTGAAGAGGTAACAAATAACTTGCAGATTTTAAAGAGATAAGTACCACGATAATATATACATGTATATATATGTATATATATGTATGTATATAGATAGTACGCTCTTTTATTTTCATTATAAATACTGCACTGCATGTTGTTCACTTTTTGAATTAACTAATTATATTGCGATTGCACTCTTACTCTCTATTTTCATGATAGTGTCACAGTATGTGTACATTTTGCATTTTTTATTACATCGTCTTAATCGTAAGTAGATGTGAAAAACTGTGTTGCATAAAAAATTGTTATTCTAGGACGTTATATCATCAAGCTTATTTTGCCCGCCATCCTTTTTTATCTTATTTTTTTGCGAAATTCGGAAACAACACAACACTGGTTAAAGGAGACTTGCAATCGTTCATCTCTTACACACTAAAAACCAAAACGGGGAAGTCCACTGAACCGAGTCTTTTTCCTTTTTTTTGCCCTTTTGTACGAACTGACCACACGCGTTATAACTTTATCTTAACAGTCGAATTGGTTATATAATCTCTCGTTTGAACTCGTTCACATTCACGTTAGACAAACACCAATGGCGATAGATTCAATTTGCTAGAAAAATCAGCGACGTTTTTACAAGTCAATATAACTTTGGCATTTGCTTTAGGTTACGCAACGTAATTGTATTGATTTGCATTGTCCTTGTCCCGCTCCATGTAGTCTCTGTCTATGAGAGACTCGATCCGTTTTTTCAAATCCGCAGGCTGGAAAAGAGATATGTATTCGGTGAATTGATATAGAAGAGAACAAATACGGCACTGTACTATGCCACAGAATTTCATGTCGCTTATTTAGATCTCAGATTTAAACATGATTCTAACATCATGCATATTACTTCAGATTGAAACAACCATATTTTATCTTAAATGCACTTATTTTTGCCTTACATAAAAAGAAAAAAAAATACATATACCTTCACAGGAAACTTCAATTGATTGTACAGCTCACTGATGAGAAGATTATGGGTCAGAGTTTTTCTCATTTTCATAATTCTGACGATAGCAGCGTCTATCTGGTATTGTCTGTCTTGATACACTCTCTCTTCTGTTGCTTTTTGTTCTTCATTCTGAAAAAATTCACAACACATATATCTATAAAAATAAATTCTTCAATCAAGTTTATGTTAATTATTGCAAACTTTTTATGCGAACACATATATAAAATAGAAAAGATATAAGATATATTGTATTATTAAACCATTTTCATAAACAATTTTACCGTTTCTTTCATTTGGATTTGATTGATCTTAATCCTGAACAGTTTGTTTGTGAATTCTGCATTGAATACAAATCTATCATTGTCGGCGACGTCCCGACCACGGGGATTCTTTTGAAGAACACGAGCCTTTCCGCATGCCAAGGACTGCAGTGTTCTTCTCAGTTCGCCGTCTTCAATATTGGTAGCGGCTTTAATATCTTCCAACGAGAGATTATCGCTGTCGTTGAATAGAATTAAAACCAATGCTTGAAACAATGATACCTGCAGCTCTTTATTGCCCTATTCACATATCGAAAGTGCTTGTGCATTAGTTAATAATTATACGGCGTACAAATAGTGTATAAACTTATCCAATACCTGGTTAAACCATGCTTTCAACACACAATGTCCTAAAGTCGGTTGCCACTGCAATTTTCTACCGCTATGTTTTCCCAAATAAAATTTATTAAACACATCTTGATACTGCACCATCTCCATCGGTAGGGTGACTTCCATCACTGGATATGTAGGCCAATATCCCATGGTAAGTATAGATACAGTTAGGTCTAGATTATTTGCCACTAATTCGCTCTGCAAGTTTCCTGCATACTGAGGACATAATAAACATTTCAAATAATATATTCCGTTAACATAATTAATAAGTAACATGTAACACAAAATAAATGACGTGCGACCAATGTAAATTATGTAACAAATATATGTATCCTATTTTTGTATACATATCTTACATTTATTGCTAAACGTGAAATATACAGGGTGTCCTAAAATTGGCAAATCAAAATATTATAGCAAGAAAGTCTTCGAAAAATTTAGTAAAAAAATTATTTATAAATTTTTATTTTAAGCAGTAGTTTTTGAGATATAAGAATTTAAATTTAGCCAATTATAGATTACGCGCGTAAAGTGCGCGACTAACCACTAATACTATCGACGCGCTACTCACGTTTCCGTTTAACCGTAATCTATAATTGGCTAAATTTAAATTCTTATATCTCAAAAACTACTGCTTAAAATAAAAATTTATAAATAACTTTTTTATTTAATTTTTCGAGAACTTTCTTGCTATTTTGATTCGTGAATTTCGGGACACTCTATATATACTTTATACAAATTATGCAAATTAAATTTAACACACGTGCGTGTGTATGTATAAAAAAAATTTTGCAATACACGAATAATTATTTTCCTCACCTGCTTGAATGCAATATTAATGTCTTTACTAAGTTCCATATCTTTGAACATTCCTTCCAGCTTACTAGTAAATCCACCACCGCATTCCTGTTTTAATTTAGACAACATGGACTTTTCAGCGTCTACGGAAGCTGATTTTCCCACTAACAAACGTTTGGCCAAATCCTTCTTATAAAACGCCTCGAAAACATCCTTTCCGTGAATAAACCGAAAGAGTACCATAATCTTATCTAATAATCTCTCTAATTCCTCCTCCGTCGCTTCTTTATTACCTGCGCGTAACTTACAATCGACAAATTTAGCTGAAATCATAAATATATAGTCTTCAATCTGTTTTGGTAGGTTTTAAAATTAAGTATTAATATTTTTAGACTAACAATATGACTGAGAGAATTTCCTAAATAACTATTTGCATTATATTTTAATGCTTATAATTAATATTATTAATGTATGTATCACCTATTAATTCGGCTGGTTTGTTTGCCCTTTGATTAATGAAAGCCTCGAAAGCTTCTTTTAAGCTATTTGCGAATTTTTCGTTTTTATGAAAGCATGTATTAACTATATTATCCATTTTATCTTTGAAATCTAAAAGTTCCTGTACCATCGTTTTATCTTTTTCAGGATCTATAACTATCGTCTTGCCTTTCTTCTAGAAAGATATAAAACAAATGATATAACTTTGTTCATTATACACAAGGTCAATTATTAATTGTAACAAAAACATACTTTGATATAACAATTAAAATTCAAACACAGCTCCACAAGGCCATTTTTTATCCGACTGTATAAATTGTAAAGTAATGATAAATCGCTAATTCTGTTTTCATCCAATAGCCCGCTTAAGCCTTTCTGTAAAATACTAGTAATATGTTCAGACAGTAATTGTTTTTCTACAGTATGTATGAGCGACCATCTGAAAATAATTAATTTTATAAAATTGTACTTAATGTTCTATTTAGTTAATTATGTCGCGTTTGGCTACGGCTAAAGCCACATACACGGCGACGAAGAAACTCACTTGGTCGATGTATCAAGATAATGGAGCAGTCGTTCGTTTTCCTCTTGTAAACGCTTATCCACGTGAGCCAAATATTCAGGAACATCGTGTTCGTTCATCAATCGTAGACCCTCGGCAGCATACAATCTTTCGGTAGCCACTAGGAACCTAAAAAAAAAAAAAAAAAAACAGAAAAACTTATGTATTATAAATATCCACACATCGAAATACTTACAATGGCAACCAATATGATAAAATAAAATAGAAAAATGGATAAATCATTATAATCGTGAAAGTTGCATCAGCTTATTAGATGTTATTAGACGTTAATGTAATATAACAATGTATATTGGATTTATCAATGTACTTTGTTTCAAAGGCCTCCTGATAGATTTGTAGATCCGACAACATTCTCAACAGCGATTTGAGAAGCGTTCGATCTACAGTGTCGCCTTGTCGTTCCTTTTCTATGAGCATAAGAAGACCCTCAACCGTGCGCGTTTGCACTAGATTGTTCAGCACAATGTGTAGTCTGAATAGATGCAATCCCATATCCCTAAAAGAAGAAATCGAGAATGCGTGTAATCATAATAGAGGGTAATTAATTATTCATTTTCGTCGGTATTTCCGCATTATTACCATATCGATGAAATGCTCGGATTTTGTAGAACGTATGTCCTGTCGAGATACAGAAAGATGCTCCTGATCATTATCATTTGTCTGCAATGCGACTGCCAGCATTCATTCATCTTCTTCAAAAATATATGTCTGTCCATCGATTCCGCTAAAAACTGCTCGATATTGGCTTTCACATGAGATTCCGTCAGAATGGTTAAATTCGAGTAAAGCGTCGAAGCCATTTTATGGTTACACATATTCTCGACCGCTTGATAAAGCTCCTCGAGAGAATAGCGAATGCTCTTGCTGGTCTGTATGGCAACCACAGCCTCCTGCAATTTTTCCCATGTCTGCTCCTGATAGTTATCTGGTAGTTTGGGTTTATCTATGGAAGAAAGCCGTTGTTCTGTTAGAACATAGGCAAGCAGAAAAGGAATTTAAAGCGTTTGCGGCATTTCTTTTGGAAACTTTCTCGGAAAATATTTCTTAGAATTCTCAGAAGACAATTTTTTTTTAATTAATGAGGACAATCATACGCAATGTGTAACAATCGCTATATATAATGTACATATAATAAAAATTTAATTTATTCAAATCTGTATAATTTGAAAGATGACTCTTTTTGTATCATTCACTTAATAACGAAATAGCCGTTTATTTCGCCTGCAACAATTGCTTTACAATGCAATACGATGATCTACGACATCTACGTAAACGCGAGAAAAGCGAAAATGTCAAGTCAAACTTGGGTGTCCATTTATAGATTCCTGTATTGTAGCGTTATTGCAACAATCGTCTATAAATAGCCCATTTAACGCGTCAATACGCTTTCCACGCAAGTCACGTCAAATCGCGCGGTCCACTGGGCAATTAACTGTATCATTCGACGTATGTAAGGTATATCGCTAAAGATCTGTCGAATTATCTCGATTAAGTTTAGGTTATGTCGTTTCGTTGAAGTTAACAGGACACAGGAACGTCCGCGAAATGTCGCGTGAAAAATCCGAGTCGTGCCCGGGACGAAAATAAAAAACATCTATATATATAAAAAAAAACACGGAACGAGGAGGGGAAGCCGAACGCTCCGCGGCACGCTGGCCCTCGCGGAAGCGGAGCAGCTGATGTTTTTTTGAGGTTAGGTCGGGCTCGGACGGCGCGTCGCGTCCCGTCGGCTTACTTTTGAAGTTCTTGATGACGAGCTTCTTCGCGGAGCCGGGCTTCGCGTTCGCGAGGCTCGGCGAGATCTTGTTGACGCCGTTCGGATTGCCGACTGTCAGCGCCGAAAAGTTGGCCCGCTTCTGCGTGTCAGCCGCGGCGGCGGCGGCGACGGCGGCAGCGGTGGCGGCTGCCGTGTCCGTCATGATGATCTCGTCACCCCTAATCGCGTCGATCTCGTCCGGATGCGCAATGCTCGCGGCCGCGGCCAGCTTGCAGCACTCAGCTGCGCTCGCGTACTCCAACACCGCCGTAAGATTGACGGCTGCAGCGGCGGCGACGATGGTAGTAATGGTAGTATCGGCGGCGACGGCGGCGGCGGTGGTGGCGGTGGTGGTGGTGGTAGCGACAGCGGCGGCGACGGTGGCGGTGGCAGCGGCGACGGTGGCGGCGGCCGCCTTCTTCACCCGTCTATCACACGGAACCTGGATATCGCAATGCCTAGACATAGGCGCGCATCCGCCGGCCGTTGGCCCTTGATGCACCGCCGAGGAACGCGACTTCCTTCCCTCTACGCTCCGAATGATGCCGCTTAATCACAGTAATCACACACATTACACACAACTCGTGTGTGTGGTACAAGGACGTTCCTCTTTCCTTTCTCTCTTTCTCTCGCACTCTTGCTCTGTTTCGCTCTACTACCCCGCGGACGTGCGCTTTATGTGTGTATACATTGGAAAAAAAAGCTTATTTTATTTAGAACACCTGCATGTGATAGCGCGCCATGGAGGTAAAGGGTCACACATAAAATCCCATGAGGCCGTAAGACGTAAGCGTAAGAAAATCGACCAATCCCAATTGAGTATTAGGTTGTCCGTAACCCCTCCACTCAATTGGGATTGGTCGATTTTCTTATGCTTACGTCTTACGGCTTTACGGGATTTTATGTGTGAAGGCCTTAAGAAGTAATTGATAGCGATGCGTAATTCGCGAAAGTGCGTCTTGCAAAAACATTATGCGAGATTCACACGACGTACGACGGGTAATAATAATTCAATGTCCAATAGGAAATCTCCTAGGAGACAAAACATAAAACCAGTATCATACGTATCGAGTGTCATTTATAACGAGTTAATTAGCTCAATTGAAAACTTTTAAAACTCTAAACAAATTTATTTCTCTAATCCTCCAACTGCCACCCTGCCGCGATAAAATTCTCTAACCGCTCTCTTTCAGATCTATCTTGGCGTCGTGAAGATATTCGTTTTTTTTTTTAATAAAAATAAAGTGTAAT